GATAATTTTAATATCCCAAACAGAAAAAAAGTGCAATCTATATTAAAAAACACATTTTCGTTCTTTTTTTTTTTTCAGTTTCGATTTGACGGATATACAATAAGGATTATGAAATAATATTTGATAATAGATGTCAGGTTGGTGTTATTGTCACCCTATTAATTATTAATATCATATTTTTTAATTGATAATTATATTTTTTAATTCATTTAAGAAGAAAAAATGTAAAATTTCAAGAAGAAATTTAATGAGAGGTATAATAATAAGTGAAACTAAAAATGTGTGGCATAATCTATATTTAAACCATGACAATAAACCCTACACTTAATTGTACTTAAACCTTCTAAAATAGAATATCAAAGCCTTGCCAACTGAGAACAGCACTAAATGGCCACAAGCCAAGTTTGATAACCCTTCTTTCTCGATCTTTCCACTATTTTTTTTTATTATTATTTAAAATTTTGAACATGTACCCAGGCATAGATAAAGGATGCATTTCTATTTTATTAATAATTTATATGAAAAAAATAAAAAATTAATTTTAATTTTATTAACTATCAAATTAAATCATTTTATGTAACATTAATATTAAAAAATAAAATTTACTTTTATAATAATTTTATATAAATTAATGTTAAACAAATATAATAATTATATATTAACCTCTATTCTAAATGTAGAGATTAAAAAATATTTTTCAATTTCTATTTTTAAGGGAGTGGCTAAGTTGAAAAAGCGCAGGTATGCATTGTATGTGGCAGACTGGGGGAGTGCAACGAATCATCTGTTACCTTCCACGCTCGAAGTCCAGAGCAATAGTAGGACCACCGACACTAAACGGCACAACTAGGGCATGGAAAAAGAAACAAATCAAACAATACGAGAAGTCATTTTCTTTTTCACATTTCTTTCGAGCCTTTATACACCTGTCATCTATTCGCCGCACATTTTCTAGAAAATAAATGCAACAAATTTCCGAACTCTGTAAAGCGACCCGATGATCGGGTGCCTCGTTGAAAGAGATAAGATATTTGTTAGATATGAAGATTGAGTTTTTCTTTACTAACAATTAATAAAATTAATCTATTAATTATTGTCTTTAAAAAAAAATACAACAAATTTCCGAAATGGTCGCCCTCATACGATGCACAAAGTGGAGCCCACATCACATCCCTACACTACACGTACTCTACCAGCCAAATCCACCGTTCATCACAAAAGCCAATATAAGTCTAGAATTTGGTTACGATACCAATTGGACTCCTTAACTTTTAAATTTGCATCAAATTATCCCTTAATTTTAAAAAATATTAAAATTATCCTTAAATTTTAATTTGTGTACACCAAAATAATTCTCAAACTTTGAAAATAATTCCAATAAATATCAATTTGATCCTTTAACAAGGTAAATTGAGTCATTGCTATATTAAAGAAATTAATTTTAATATTTAAAAATTACTTACACTACACTTAAAACTTCAAATTATCTTTTATCAATTTTGGAGTCTTTGATAATATAACTAATAAAAAAATTTTAGATCTTTTTAATCTTTATAATTATAAATGAGAATAAAAATTTATTTATAATTTATATTTTTTAATTATATTTCTTCTAATTGACATGTTAATATGTTTTATAATTATATTTTTATTTAATGTTAAAATTTTTTATATTATTTAATATATTTAATGATATTATAAGGTAATCAATTTAACCAAACTACCCCAATCTAATTTAACTTAAATTAATTTAATTATCATATAATAAAAATTTAATTTACAAATTTTATTAATTAATTACGATAATTTAACTTAAAAAATATTAAAATTCAAATGAATGTACAAAAGTAAACACACCTTTAGATAAAACAATAAATATATCAAAACATAAACAATTAAAAAACACTGACAAAAGGATTAAATAAAGAGAAAAAGAAAAAGAAAAAGAAAAAGAAAGGAAAAGCCGAACCCAGTATTCCACTTCTCTCCCACAGGTCACAGCTGCTAAAGGATGCAGCAGACCCCAGTCCTCACCACATAAATTTAATTCCAAATAAATTATAAATAAGAAATAAAAAACGCCTCGCTGCAGTCTAGACTAATAGGAAGTAGCACTGGAATGGAGCAGTAACCAAAAAAAAAAAAAGAGCAAAATTAACAGAATGGCATAATTACGATTCAGGACAGGAAAACCGATGAAACCACCGTGGCAGAGATGGTGAC